AGTTCTTTACCTGTGGTATGCATCAAATAAAATAGAGAATGTGAAGGTATATCCAGAACAGACACAACATGCTTATGAGTCCTCTGGCAATTTAAGAAATAGCCCATTTGTTGTGCTCTTAATATTACAATTCCATGTACAAAGTAAATATTTCCATATTAAATTTTCAGGTATATTAGCACAGAATTGGAAGGAATATTTTCAGTCATGGGCCCATGAGGCTATAGTTAATGGCTGTAAAAAAGAGAAAATTTATGCATTATTTGAAATACCTTTCACCATATATAGTACTCCAGTGAAGAGGCCATGCAAAGGTAGCAATGTTTGGATATAGCTTTTAGGAGATTTCTTTTTGATCCTCAGTTTCATTACAAAAAGGGAGATCCATAGGTCCTTTTCTGGGTCAGTTTAATCAGCTTTTGCTATCCAAGATTTAGCATCTATGGCTCTGACCAATATGTATATGTGTTGTATGTCAGGAAGTTCTGAAATCTAGATTTCAGATTTAGAAGAAATCTAAATTCTTTTGTGAATATTTGCTGGTCTTGTCTGTGTTTAGGGAAACTAGCTCTTAATTTAGCTAAGGTCTAAGGTTACTTGAATATCTGGCTCTGGTGTGGATGGATCTTTAAAGGCAACTGGCCTCTTAGGTTTTTAAGAGAGTTGTTGAGAAAAGATGGGGGCTTAGACAAGGAGAATTAGAAGGAGAAGCTCATGGAGGTACAAAAGGAGAGAGATTAGAAGGATAAGGGGCAGATGGAGATCTCAATAGGGGAAGGACTAAGATAGAAAATTTATTAAGGAAATGTGACTAGTTTGTTATTTTTTTGTCAAATTGCTCATTAGCTTTGGCCAAAGAATCCTTTACTGGATAAAGGTTTGATTTAGGATTTTGTCCGCAGGCCTCTGGTTACCCAATCAAAAAATGCAACTCATTTAACCTGAGAAAAGTTCCTCCTTTTTTTTAAAAAAAGGTGCCTTTCAAGTCAAACACTTCCCACCAAAGGCTCATTTAATTATCCTTAATGAAATTGTGCCATTTAGAGACATAAGAATTAGGACTATGATGAGAAATCATATAAAAAGCAGATTTTTTTCCTGGAAAGGGAGAGGATTCAGGTGGATGACACCATAAGAGCTGGCACTAGGCAGCAAAATGTGATGCTTATGCCTTGTGTCAATCATTTGCTAGGGGCCTCTGAATGAGGATCTGACAGTCTGCATTCATTGGAAAACCAGAGAGTATACTGTTCTATATCAAAGCTAAACCCTCAGGAAAAAACCAAGAGAATCTCATCTGGTTTTATTGATAACCCAAAGCAAAGTTTGTTCAAATGGTTGCTGATCTGGTCACCAGCTGGTAAGGCTAGTTCAAACAACAGGTGATAGTTTGACCTTCCTTACTGTTTTGGGGTCAGTTACTCTAAAAGTTACAGTTTGGCTTCTGGGATAGTTGTGAGGGAGTTTGTGGGCTTGAGTTCTACTGTCATGTATAGTTTGGCTGGTGCTGATATGCACTTTCAGTCTTTCAGATCCCTTTATGTCCCTGGCTCACAAGGAATCCAGCTTTCTAATGGCATGTTTTGCAATTACCCTAGCCTCCTGAATTTCTAAATGATATTGGTACCACCCAGTAAAATCCTTGTTGCTTTGTTATGCTGTGTTCCTCAAGGCCCATTCACACATCATTGGAACAGATGTATTTTACAGCCTTAGGTAGTATATCCACTGTATCATATGCATGTTTTCATCCCTTCTTCTATCTACTGTCCACCTTTGCAGTTAAGGTATTTCTACTTAACTTAGTGTGGAGATCCTTTTTTTTCCAAGATTCTAAGGGCTGCCTTTTAAGAATGTTAGCACTGTATTACAGCGTTCTTTCCAGGGCCTTAAATCCTGTATCGTGTGAGAGTGCTTCTAAATTGATAAATTCTCATTTTACTGTAATCATATCCAGCAACTATATAGTCCTATACTGGACTCTGACACTTGACAGTGAGAACTGTGGATTTTATGTTGAGTGAATCTTGCAGTTCTTCCAGGATATACACAATATATTTCATTATATAGGCCCACTATTTCTCTGTCTGGATTATATTGTGCTCAATTTTAGTTCCTGGACTTATTGGGGAGAGGAGGCAAAAGTAGATCATAATATTATGGGAGGAGGAAGCTGTAGGCCAAGAGACTTGAGAGGGGTCTGGGAACTCAAGATACTCAAATATGTCTACCCAGTTTTCCTCATCCAGTGCCTCATGGCCCAATCAGGGCTGTGACTGTGACCTCACCAGCACAGCCTTACCTTGTTAGAGATTTCAACATTTTATTGTGCTGTGCTATTCCTAAAGTAAAGCCAGAGCCAGATCTTTAGGCTTTTCTTTTCACTTTAGCTCAAGAGATGCAGGCCTGGGCCGGGGATTTAGCTCAGTGGTTCCAGCGCCTGCCTTGCAAGTGCAAGGGCCTGAGTTCAATCTCCAGTACCGAAAAAAAAAAAAAAAAAAAAAAGATCCAGGCCTTTTGCTGCCAAAGAGACAGTCTAGGTCTCATATTTAGATTTTATTGGTAATTAATCATCCTCCTCTTTCTCAAATGCACTTAGAAACTGCCATTCAATTCCACACTCTTTGTAAATATTACTTTTATAGTCTGAACTCTGATTTTCTCAAATACCTGGATACTGCCAGTGCCAGTGATTTCCTTCTATTACTCTCCCAATAAATTCACCATTGAGTAAGAGTTTATCTGCTTTGCTGTAACATGCTATGGGTTGTTCATACTCCATGATTCAACATTGAAATCCAGAGTTCTGCTTCCTCTAAGAAAGAACTCCAGAGCCCAGAGTAGGCAACTCAGCAACTTGGCGAGAATCTGTCTCTAAATTAAAAAAAGAAAGACCTCAGTGTGAAAGCACCGGGTTCAATCCCTTATAAACAAAACAAAAACAAACAAAACAATCCCCCAAACATTGTAATCCATTTTAGTGGCCATATCCTATGACAACTCTTGGCTCCAGCTGTTTGGGAAGACTGTGAGATAGAGATTTGCATAAAGGAATTTGGGGGAAGAAAGAAAATATGACCCTTCAGATGGAGGAGTTATACTGGAATGCAGTTGTAACAACCAGTCACCTCACTGACAGCTGTAGAATTGTGATATCTTTCCAAGTTGTCTTGACTTGGTGCACATGGATTGGGCCTGTATATCCCTTAACTGAGCAGCTACTGGAGTGGACTATATAAATGCCTGAGAATAATTTCTGGAGAGCAACTGAGCTGAGTTAGCTGCTAATTCTCCCAGCAAGCCTGAGAAGGTGGAGATATAGATAGTCCATCCCAGAATCATTAGTGCCTTAAAATGGGAAATTGGCCCACGTGTAATGTTTGAGGATCACAACTGTGATTTACCATTTATTTATTTTGTTTGCTTTTGTGAAACTGTTGGATTGAAGCCAGAGGCACTCTACCACTGAGCTGTATCCCCAGCTTTTTTAATTTTTTGAGATCAAGTCTTACTAAGCTTCCCAGACTGGTCTCGAACTTGTGATTCTCCCACTTCAGCCTACTAAGTACCTGGGATTACAGGTGTGCACCACCATGTGAGAACCATGATTTCTGAATGGCAGTTATATGCACTCTGTAATGTTTGGCTCTTAGAGAACCAGAGAAGAGGCAAATATGCAATTAAAATATGGAACATATGGTGAATTTCCTTTCAAAATTTGTCAACAAACCAAAATTTCTTTGCTCAGAAACAAAACAGGCAGCATCTGTCACTAGATGCTACCAAATAATGGGAGATTTTATGCCTGAAGAAATATAATCATTGAGGTGATTAATGCAGAATTTGAGTATTTAAAATTTCTAGAGAGAAAGGGGATAACATCCATGAAGCCAGAAATTTGGACATTGACCAAAAATTGTAAAATAAGAGCAAATAGATATTAAACACTGATTAAGCCTTAAAAAGGAAAAATACAGTATTTGAAGTAAATACTATCTTACAAAGAACATAAACATAATTTTGAAAACAGACAATGAATCAGCTAATTGCAAGAAAGAGTTATGATAAAGGATATAAAAATATAGAAAATAAGAGATTTGGGGGAGGGCCTTGATTAAACAGTGCCACCACTTTTCTGGTAGGAGTTCCAAGATTAAAGAGAAATTCAAAGGTCTAAGAGATACTGACTCATTTTTTTCAATTGGAATTTTAAGAAAGAATTACTTCTCCAGATTTAGAAAGCTTTCTGAGTTGCAGTGGGCAAAATTCTACAAGTAAACACATCAGTCTGAAACTGTAGATTATCAAAGTTAAAAATACTACAGCAAATAGCTTAATTTCATACAAAGGAATGACAATACAAATGAAAGATTCTCATTGGGTACAATAAATGTTGGGGGAAACAATGTTTTTAAAGTAGTGAGAGATCATAGTTATTATTTTAGAGTTCTACACCTAGCTAAAATATCACGCAAATTTGCAAGTGTAACTGAAAAAAAATGCAGAAGTGAAAAATGCAGATTTACCATACAGGCCATGGAGGAAAGAGTTCTTAAAAAATGTGCCATGGTAAGAAGACAAGTGAGGACCAAATGATGGAGTAGAATATAAGAATAGAAAACAGACAAATTGTTACATTTTGGTAAATCTAAATAATAATTGCTACTATTCAAAAGAAAAAAATTAGCACTTTGTTGATTTCAGCTTTATCAGTAATAATTTATTTTGTTATGAAACCTTGAGACAACTGGAAAAATAATGGACATTTTAATATTAGAATGGTGTGCATAAAATCCAACCCTCCCACAAGAACAAAAACCAAAACTTCCCTACCACCCCCCCCAATACAAAATACAACCTACAGGGAATTATAATTTTAATAATGTAGTAGAGCAGACATGCAACGATATTTAGTCAGTAGAAGTTCTATAAGTGCCAATCACCATATGAACTGATGAAAAATGATACTCCAAACATCATGCATACAGAACATAAATTCCTTTTTTTTTGGTACCGGGATGGAACTTGTGACCTTGTGTTTGTGAGGCAGGCGGTGGAACCACTGAGCTAAATCCCTGGCCCCAGAACATAAATTCTTAAAATTTAACATTTAAAACCTTAACATGACCCTTCAGATACCTCCTTCCATTCTTCTCAAGTCCTCAGAAGGACATCCAATTTTTAAATCCCTGTAGCCCCAACCCTAGTCTTATGTGTCCTGTTAACTTGCTGTGTATATTCCAGTGGTCCAAAAGTTCCTATATGTACATACAAAGAATTAAAATTATAAAATTAACTGAATTTAGTTATTTAATCCAACATTTTCAATAATTTGATAGTCTTTGTAGTTACTTAGCCAACTCCCCACAAACAAAAACCAACAAAATCCCAGAAACTCAACAGTTATTTCATGATCAGAAAGACCGAAAATAAACTTCTTCAATGTGATATACCAAGCATTTACAATAAAAATAATTGATACAATTTAGAATTGTCAACACAAGACATAAGATGGGAATGCCCCATCAGCCATATTGTTAAAGAAAGTCATATCTAATACAAATTAAGGAAAGATTAAATGTAAGATGCTTGTGAAAAGACAATACTGTATTCTTATTTTTAGCGCTATTATTGTCCTTACTAACCAACCAAAAGAATCTACAGAGAAGTCATAAAACAAATAATTTTCTTGGATACTAGATTAACATATAAAGAAATATTTTTATACACTAGGAACAATGTACAAATAAATTTGAGATCTTGTAGTTGTGAAAACATTAAAATATAGTATTATGAACTTTTTCAGAACCAGGGAATTATATTAATAATATACAAGAAGAAATGTATGGAAAAGAGCTGGTTCTTTTGTAAAGGGGGGAAAAAATCCCAGTTAAAACAACAATAGTTCTTTGCTAACCAAATCATTAAAGAAAAAAAAAACACAAGGAAGGTGAATGGTCATTCTTCCCAGTTCTGTCCATTTTGTAAACAACAGACATTAGCATTACATGGTACAGCTTTTTGTGAGATATCCCAAAGGGGACTGTTTTCCTCCAGAAAAAGTCCATGGTGAGAAGGTAGTCACACACTAGCAGAGACTAGAGCCCAAGCAACCTTAAACAAAGGATACTTAGTAGCTGCTTTGGGACAAAACAGGTCCATGGGTAGGATGTTGGAGAAAGGGTGGGTTTTAAGTGCTGGCGTTGAGGTCTAAAGCTGGGTGTGGTACCATATGCCTGTAATCCTAGCACTTGGGAGGCTGAGGCAGGAGGATTGCTGAGAGTTCCAAGCCAGCCTGGGCTCCACAGTGAGTTCAAGGGTTGCCTGAACCACATGGCAATATGGTGTGTCAAAAAACACACATGCACATACACATCAAAAAACAAAACTAAACAAAAGACTCAGGCAAATTCAAACTTCTTAAGGGTGACTTCTACAGGGAAAAAGGAATGAGTAGCAGTCTCTAGGTCTGAAAGTAGACTGTCAAAGAGCCATTCCCCTCTCACACTTTTTTTTTTTTGGCTAACCAGAAAGTCTTCCAGACTTTCTAAAACAGCCACTGATTTAAACTCTGCAACGTTGCCTACATTAAAAAAACCCGTCCATTATGTATCTTTTAGGTGTGCAGTACACAAACAATAGCCATTAGAAGGCCCTCACTTGGACCCCAGAACAGTGGCAAAGTGTTGCAGGAGGCAATTCATTCCTGGAACAGGCGTCTCCTGGCTTTGCAATGTGGACCCATGCGCACTGGGCGCTCATTGGGACCAGGACTGGGAAAGGGAGGCAGAGGTTGGAGCGGCGAGGTGGGGAAGGGCCTCAGCAGATGGAAGTCGTCCTGGTCGAAGACTAAGCCAGGAGAGCCACTTGCAAAAGAAATGATGGGGATCAGAGGCGTTGGCTCTGGGATGGAGCCCTGTGGGTCAGGGCTCAATACTGCTGCGGGCCAGAGCAGGAGCCCAGCAGTGAGGCTGCCCGGACAGTCTCCGTAAGGCACCAGGAATACGGAGTGCGTGTCATCATGATCTTGGGGCTCTTCGTGGCCAGCCATGTCTGGGACAGAGGGGAAGAATTCCTGCTGTTCGACCAAGAGGACGATGTCGTTCTCCAGGGGAGCGCCCAGGTAGGCGCCAGGCGTGGCCAGGCCTTCAAGAGAGTTGCTGTGCTCTCCGGAGCCTTGGTCGGTGGAGCCCAGCAGGCTGTGGGGTCCCACGATGAGAGTGTGGTCTTGCAGAGTCACTTGCAGGACGGAGTCGGGCATGGCCTCCACCACCAGGTTGAAGCCATCTAGGGGCAGCTGCAGAGCGCAGCCCTCTGACAGGATTACAATGGAGGTAAACGCAGGCGCAGCGAGCAGATCTGCCGAGTCTTCCAGGACTGGCCCTGCGCGGGTCTCTGGGCCGGCGTGGTCCTCCAGGCCAGGCTGTGGTGTGGACCAGGGCGCAGGATAGGCGCCAGGGCTGCGGGGCCGAACGCCCATCATGTTGACGGCTGTGAGTGGGCGCCGGGGATTGGCTTCAGGCGTGCGCTGTGCGGTCCTGTGAGTGGTGACAGGTCAGTGTCCTGAGAGGGTGAAAATTGAGGCGAGCTGGGCCTCTGGGTGGCCTGCTGTGCTGGTTTGTAAGTGAGCAGCTTCTGCCACTGGTCCCGGTTTACCCCTTAGAATCTCGTGCCTTCTTCACGCGAGTCAGGATGCGCAGTGGGCGGCCTGTTCTGTTGCAAGTGGTGATGGGAAACCAAGTCGCAAAATGTCAGCCTAGGCTCTGCCCCTAGGCGGGCTCCGCCCTGGAGATGGACCAATAGTGACATCTGTGGTTGGTAGGTCACTGTTAGATAATACTTTTATGGTCCAATAGAGGGCAGAGCAACTTCCTTTCTCTGGGTTGGCTTCAGATGTGGAATTCTTGGCTTTTCTTGGCCGTCTTCCTGGTATCTCAGAAGTATTGTGGGAGCAAGGAGGGTGCAATCTTGGACTGGAATGCCAAAGCGAGACACTGAGATGTAAGCCAGCTTGCTGTTCAGGTCCTGACCTGAGAGTGTCCTCTTTGTCCTGTGGCCAAATAATGCAGTGTGTTTTGGCATGATATCCGTATGCTTCTGTTCCTTCAGTTGTGAATGATCGTACTATCTTGCAGAATTTGGAGGACAAAGGAATGCTAGCCTCGTTGGATATAAGCAGCTACTGCTTTATCTGAGGGTTAATACTATAGTAATTATTATGCTAAGATCAGCTGAAGTAGGAGTTTATATAAGTTGACCAAAACTAAATTCTTTGGTACAGTATATCTGTTTTTGGTTTTAATTTACAAATGATCAAATGTTATGTAAAAGTGGTAGCAAGTTGCCCAGGAGTTAGGAAGTAGCAGAGCTGAGTCTAGCTTTTCCAGCTCCATTTAGTGTATGTGCTGCTGGAGTGGGCACGTTCAGCTCCATTTAGATGGTACATACAGTTAGAGTGTTAGTGCTTTCGATTTGAGTGTTAGTTTTTTCTTTTATTTTTATTAGTGCATGTTTACATTATATAATGATTACATTTATTGTGGGGAGTTGGTACATTTACATACTGCATCTTTTCTTTTTACTTTTCCTTCTCCTCTCCTCCATGCCCCTCCTATCTCTTGGTTCCCTTCCCATTTATGAAAAATCCTTTTTGTTTCCTATTATTTATATTGCTCTTTAGCTTATTTAGACATTGGGTTTTCTCTTATAAGAGAAACCATGTGATTTATAATTTGGGTTTCTCATATGAGAGATATTTAAGCTTGTATATCTGATTTATTTTACTTAACATCATGGTCTCAGGGTGCATCCATTTTTCTACAAATGACTGAAGTTTATCTTTCTTTATGGCAGAATATACTCTACTGTGTATAATACCACATTTACTTTATCCATTCATCTGTTGATGGACATATAGGATGCTTCCAAGATTCGGCTATTATGACTTGTGCTGCCATAAACATGGATATACACATATCATGGTAATATGAAGTCTTTAACTCTTTTAGAAAGATACTTAGATGTGATGCAGCTAGGTCAAATGGAATTTCTAGTTTTAGTTGTTTTTTTGGGGGGGGGGTACTGGGGATCGAACTTGGGACCTTGTGCTTGCAAGGCAGGTGCCGTAACCACTGAGCTAAATCCCCAGCCCTAGTTTTAGTTTTTTGAGGAATTTCCATACTGATTTTCTTAGTGGTTGTGCTAGTTTACATTTTCACCAACAATGTGGATGGGTTCCTTTTTGCTAGCATTTGTTATTATTTGATTTCTTGATGATAGCCATTCTTTCTGGAGTAAGATGGTATCTAAATGTTGTTTTAATTTGCATTTCTCTAGTGGCCAGTGATTTTGAACATTTTTTCATGTATTTCTTGGCCATTTGTACTGAGAAGTATCTATTCATTTTGGTTGGCCATTTTTAAATTGAGTTTCTTTATTAGTTCTAGGAGTATTTTGGTGGAAATTTTTTAGTCTTTTTATGAAAAGGATCATGTTGCCTGCAAGTAAGTATAGTTTGACTTCTTCTTTTCCTATCCATATCCCTTTTCTTCTTCTTGCATGATTGCTCTGGTTAAAGTTTTGAGTACTGTGTTGAATAGAAGTGGTAATAGTGGACATCCTTATCTTGTTCCTGATTTTAGAGGGAAAGCTTTCAGTTTTTCCCCATTTAATATGAAATTGGGTAGGTTGGTCATAAATGGCTTTTATCAGATTGGGATAGGTCCTTTTATTCCTATTTTCTTCAGGGTTTTTATCATGAGTGGATGTTGGAATTTTTAAAAGGCCCCCTTTTATTTTGATGACAGAGTTTCACTATATAGTTCACACTGGCCTTCAGCTCACTGTGTAGTCTAGACTGGCCTCAACTTGCAACAATCATCCCGCCTCAGCCTTCTGAGGGCTGGGATTATAGGTGTGCTCCACCATGCCCAGCCTTAGAAGCCTTTTTTGTATCTTTTAAGATGATCATGCAATTTTTGTCATGGCTCATATTTATGTGATATATTACATTTATTGATTTGCATATGTTTAACCATTTCTACATCCCTGGGATGAAGCCTACTTGGTCATGATGTATGATCTTTTTAACACTTTGTTGCATTGTGTTTGCCATTATTTTCATTAGGATACTTGCATCTGTGTTTATTAAAGAGATTGACTTGTTCTCTGTTTTTTGGTGGGGGATCCTTTTCTCATTTTGGAATCAGGGTAATGCTACTTCCAGGAATGATTTTGGGAGTACTCCTTCCCTTTCAATTTTGTTGAAGAGTTTGAGGAATTTTGGCATTAGATCTTCCTTGAAGTTTCTGTAGAATTCAGCAGTGAATCCATTAGGTCCTGAGTTTTTCTTAGTTGGTAGTTTTTTTTAAAATTACTGCTTCAAATTCATTGCCTGTTATTGGATTATTTAGGTTTTTATATCTTCTTGGTTCAGTTTTGGTAATTCATGTGTATCTAGAAATCCATCCATTTCTTTTAGATTCTCTAATTTATTGGGGTACAGGTTCTCAAGTAGTTACTAATAATCTTCTGGGTTTTGGCAGTGTCTATTGTGATTTTGCTTTTTTACATTTCTAATTGCATTGATTTAGGTCTTTTCTTTCTTTTTCTTGGTAAGATTGGCTAAGGGTTTGTCACTTTATTCTTCTGATGAACTGCTCTTTGATTAATTGATTCTGTGTATTGATTTTTAGTCTCAATTTTGTTAATTTCTGCTCTGATCTTCATAGTTTTCTTCCTTATTCTGGTTTTGGATTTGGATTGTTTATGTTTTTCTAGGACCTTGAGGTGTATTGTCAGGGCAATATTTGTATTTATAAAAATACAAATGTTTATTTATATGGACTCACTTTATTTTGGTGGTATGGGTAGTCATGACTATAAACTTCCCTCTTAGGACTGCTTTCATTATGTCTCTTAAGTTCTGATATGATGTACTGGCATTATTGTGTGATTCTAGGAGCTATCTAATTTCTTTCTTGATTTCTTCTGTAGCCCATTTATTATTCAATAGGGTATTGTTTAATTTCTGTGTTTGTATAATTTCTGAGGTTTCTTTGGTTATCCATTTCTTGTTTCATTGCACTATGATCTAATAGCTTGCATGGTATAATTTCAATATTTTTTGCATTTACTTAAGCATGCTTACTCTGCTAGTATGTGGTCTATTTTGGGGAAAGTTTTGTGTGCTGTTGGAAAGAACGTGTGTTCTGTTGTTGCATGAGACTGTCTGCAGATATCTATTAAGTCCATTTATTTGAATGTTTGATTTAACTGATTTTTTATGTTGATTTTTTTGGTCTAGTTGATCTATTTTTGATAGTGGGGTATTGAGGTCTCCCACTCTAATTGCAATGATGTATATCTGATATTTTATGTCCACTAGTGTTTGTTTTATGAAGTTGGGTGTGTCAGTGTTTGCTGCATATATGTTTATAATTTTTATCTCTTCTTGAATTGTTCTCTTAACCAATATATAGTGACCTTTGCCTCTTCTGATCTGTTTTGGCTTGAAGTCCATTTTATCTAAAAATAGGATAGCTACTCCTTCTTGTTTTTGGGTTTCCATTGCATAGAATATTGTTTTCCATCCTTAGATTTTTTAATCTGTGACTTTCCTTTGAATTAAATATGATACAGAATATCATTGGGTTTTGTTTCTTGATCCATTCTGCCAATCTGTGTCTTTTGATTGGGGAATTGAAACCATTCACAATGAGAATTATTATTGAAAGTAATTTCTGTCATTACTTTATTTTCCTGCTGCTGATTTTCTTCCCCCCCACTTTATGCATAATTGCTCACCCTGCCTCCTGTCTCCATTGTCTTTGTCTAGTATATCCTTGAGAAGTTTTTGTAGTGTTGGTTTGGTGGTCATAAATTTCTTAAAGTGCTCTTTCTGTTGGAAATACTTTATTTCACCATCAATTTTGAGAGGTAGTTTTACAGGATGTATCAGTAAGGATTGGAAGTCATTTTCTTCTAGAGCTTGAAGTACTTCACTCCCAGCTCTCCTGGCCTTTAAGGTTTGTGTTGAAAGTCTGCTGTAATTCTAATTGGCTTACTTTTATAAATTATTATTTTCTTTTATCTAACAGCTTTTAAGATTCTGTCTTTATGCTCAACTTCTGGGATTTTTACTATGCTGTGTTGTGGAAAAATTAGTTCTTTGATCATGACTATTTGGGGTTCTATATGTGTCACTTATCTGTATGTTTAATTCTTTCCCTATATTTGAAAATTATTATTTCTGTAACATGTTTGTTTTATGTGATTTGTGTTGTCTTCTGATTTTTCACTAATTCCAATTAATCTTAGCTTAGTCTTTTTTGTGTCATGTAGCAGCTGCTCTATTCATTTTTCATGTTCTCTTGTTTTCAAGGTGTCTCAGAGTAATTGGTCACTGACATCAGCTGTCTTTTGCTTATGACACCCTGTCATACTGGTTGCATCTGCAGCCCATACTTTAAGTAGAATTTTTAATCTTCTGGATTTTTGTTAAGTACCTTTTCCTGGCCTCAAATTCTTTGCTGAATGGGTCATTCATGTTTTGTATTGTTTTGTTTAGTGCATCTAATTTTTTATTACGGTCTTCTATAAGCTCACTGATCATTTTGTTTATTAAGTCCATTGTCTATTTAGTTGTATCTTCTTTGACCTCACTGATTAAGTTATTGATGACTTTTTAAATCTCCTTTTGTAAAATTTTG